TTTTATTAATGAGTAACTCTGGAATTTTTAACGGTAGAGACATTGATTGACCTGTTTTATGAAATAAGATGTAGTTAGTTTTTTCACAGTTTAAAGATAGTCCTAAGATTGACCCTTGAGGGACCCCACACTCGATATCAAGAACACTTGACTTTTTATGTCTAATTTATTTTTATTTAGCAGATTAGAATAATACATTATTTTAGCAGATTAGAATAATACATCATTTTAGCTTGTGTAACATTTTTTTGAAAAAAACCGTTTATAGGCTTTGTATGTTTTTTCATCACCTTCATCCTTTAATTTCAAAAACTTTATATAAAGTTTTTGCTTTCGTTTAGACGATTTTATAAGATTACTCGTCATCCATGGATTTTTTAACTCCTTATTTTTTACTTCAGATGTTATTATTGAACAGACAGTATCAAAAATACATTTAAAAGGAGCCGTAAAGTTATTAAATGCCTGATTTTGATCCTTAGCTGAGTATACATTTTTCCAGGACTCTTCAAATAGTTTATTTTTTAAATTATCGAGATTTTTTTGAGTAAGGTTTCTTTTAGTGACAAGATATTTTTTATTATCACTATTAGATAGAATATCACGTGCAATGTGAAAAATGGGGAAATGATCAGAAAAATCAGCAAATAAAATACCAGATTCAAAATCAGAATTATAAGAGTTGTTTACATAAAAGAGGAAGGCTAAATCCTGATGATGATGATGATGATAATGATGATCATGATGATGATGACAATGATGATGATGATGGCAATAATGATGGTGATGATCATCATCATGATCATGATCATTATCAGGCTTTAGCATTCCTATTTTATGCTATTGTTGATGATGATCATGATCATGATGATAATGATGATAATGATGATCATCATCATCATGATCATGATAATAATGATGATTAAGATAATCATGTTGATCATAATGATGTTTATATATGCATATATATACAAAATATAACATGAATTCAGAATATAAAAAAAATACTTTAAGATGTATAAATGTTTAAGCAACCCCGGTCAGAAACCCAGCCCCGGTTATATTTTATCAAACTTGGCCCCGGCCACTGGTCAAATATTAACCCCGGTCATTTACAAAATTCCAGCAACTGTATCATCAGCTGTGAAAATCATTTATTATAGTACACCGTCAATATTGTTTTTTTTTAAATATCATTTTTAAACGATCTGTTGATAAAAAATATTTCTTGACACATACAAATTTAGTACCAATTAGAAAACTTCTTGTTTGATTGAAAATAGTTAGATCATTTTAATTGTTTTAATTACAGAAATTAATTAGTAACTTCCTTATTTTATCTGTCAAAGATAAAATAAGGAAATTCTGGTCATAAATCTGAATAATTAGCAGATGCTATATTTTTAGTTTTAGAATTGCATATATTCGATATAAACAATAGTCATGGTTACGGTTACAATGCGTCTAACATGTCTGATAGGTATACAGGACTTTAAGCTTGCATTAAAAAAGTTTATCCATTAGCTACATTTGTACCATGGTTTGCTCGTTAAATCGTTAAAAGAGAACATTTTTAGCGTTAAAGAGAGTTAAGCCTTATTTGAGGGTGGGAATGACTGGTGAAGAGGTTGGGAATGACTGGTGTGAATGTTGTAATAGGTTAGCAATTCTATTGATTGAATCTGCACTTACCATTGATATGAACTTTAATGACATTATAAATACATTTGAAAAACAAAACTCACGTAGAAAATTTTATATATTTTTTTAATGTTAAGTGAGTTTAACTATATGTTTGTATTGAAAATGTTATTGTTTTTTTAATAATCAACCCATATCAAAGTATTCAGTTATTTTTAAGAGAGAGCACTTAAAAAATTAGTGCCCCAGGGTGCCAAAGTATAAATACGTCTCTGAGTCTGTCTTGATGCATGGTCATCATTTCATCATGGCTACCTGGAGATGACGATTCCCTTTATTTGAAAAGATTGGAACCGTGTCAAATTCTGCATCCATGTCAAATTCTGTTCTCAATTTGATGATAAGCATACCGCAAAAAATATTTTCAACAAGATTGAAACAACAGAAGAGGAGTGGGAAATTTCTTTAAAATTTGAAGTTTGCTTAAGAGACAATGCAGCAAATCTAAAGGCAGCCTTTTATGAACCAAACTGTAATTATGTGTCAGCTGGATGCCTTAACCACTCCCTTCAACTTGTCATTAAAAAAGAACTATTTTCACATCCATCTTTTTCAAATCTTTGCAATCCATCCGTCCATAAAGACGGACTGATTGCAAAGAGTCGAAAACTCTGTTATTTCGCATCCCATTCTACTGCTTTTTACACTGAACTTTACAAACAGTAAGAAAACCAAATGGATACAAAAGTCAGACTTGGCTCAAAAAGCGATGTTGCCTTAAGATGGAACTCTACCTATTATATGCTCGAGTAAACTTTACACCTGAAGCCAGCCATTGCTGCAACCTTTATCAAATTTCCTTCAGTGGGAATTGAATTTTCTGTCCAAGATTGGAGCCTCTGTGAAAAAGTGGTGAACATTTTAAGTTTTTTTGAGGAGGCAACAAAAATGTTGTCAGGTGTTGACTTCTGCATCAGTTCCTGTATTCCAATTGTGACAACTATATTTTAAACTTTGGAAACAACCTCTGGCGATATCAGTGTTCAGGAGTTGAAAATTGCTATAAAAAATGCAATGGAAAAACGTTTTTTATCAATTGAAAAAACAGAACATTATTCAGTTGCTACTTTACTCGATCCAAAATACAAATGGTATTTTTTCAATCTCAAGGTGCTTTGCAAAATGCTAAACACATTATCATGTCCCAAACGGACAGTTTTGAACCTCCCCGACGGGCATTTGTTTAGTTTGGTAAGTTACGTTCTGAATGTGTTTTAAATGTCTTTTAAACGTCTTTTAAACATTAATGTTTAAAAGACGTTTAAAAGACATTTAAAATACATTTAGATCGTAACTTTTAAAAAGAAATGCCCGTCGGGTCTAGATGAATTGGTTTCTGCAACTCAAATTCTATCTTGCGACAATATAAAAAAAAACGTTTGTTCATATAATGTCAAAAATTATTGCGCAATTTCAAACTCAAATAGGATCAAATGCATGTTCATTCCAAAATGATAAAAGAAGCGTTGAATGATTTTTTGGATTCCAATGGATTTTTTGGATTCTAAATCTAGAAAATTTGAAAAAACTTCTTTTTTGTCGAGAAAATCTTCCAGTTGTTGGATTCTGTTATTAGTTATATTGATTAATTTAATATTTTGTTAAATTAAAACTAACTTTAAAAAATAATATACATTATTGATTTTCGGTTCCGGTTTCGGTTATGAATAATAAAGATCGATTTTTAGTTCGGTTCTGGTTCCAGCAAAATGTTAGTTCCGGTGGATCAATAATACAGTCAAAGAAATAAGTATCTGAACAAAACATTTTATTGTAAATAATAAACTTTCTCAGATTATTTTAGAAAAACATATCTTTTTGATAAATACTTTTATAATTTAAATTTTATAATTATAATTTTTTATAATTGACTTATAAAAAATTATAATTAAATTCATTTGATTTTCCATTGCTATCATTAAGTATTTTTTTGTTGTTGTTGTTGTTATTCACCTCCTCAAGGTCGAGAAGGCCACTACAGATGACGAGGCTACTTAATAGTAGTTATAACCCTCTCTCAACTCTATAACTCCGAAATACGAACCTGACAAATATGGCCGCTGCGCGGAGAAACAAGTTGAGCGCGGTACTACCAGGGATGTGGCGGGGATCGAACTCGGAACCTCTCGCTTATGAAGCGAGCGTTTTACCACTACACCACTACCACCAAATCAAGGAATGATCCCAAGCTTAGCGCAATTTAGTTATTGACTTGTTCAAGAAAGGTAAAACATTTAGGTCGATAAATAAAGCGACTGAAATGGCATTAGAAACCATCAGCGGTCTGAATAAAAAGTATAATATGTTTGAATATGTGGAAAAAGCCAAGATCCGGAGCGTAAAACAACATCAAGAATGAATTGACAAATTGTCAAGATGGTGCAAAAAAAACGCTTTTTATCCGCACCAAAAGTGTCAAGCATCCTTGAGAAAGATTTTGGGTTATAAGTGAGCTCATGTACTATTCGAAATCGATTAAAAGAAAGTGGATTCAAAGTAAGAGTTCCACGCCAGAAATCATTCATTTCAAAAATCCATCAAAAAAGAAGACTTGCATTTGCTAAAAAATATGTAAATATGCCGGTATCATTTTGGAGGAAGGTTTTGTGGACAGACGAGTCAAAATTTAATCTTGTAAAGTCCGATGGAGATCAAACAGTATGGAGAAAAAAGGCGAAGCATTCACACTCAGCTGTATTCGAGGCACAGTAAAATTTAGTGGAGGCAATGTTATAGTATCGATTAAAAGAAAGTGGGGATCGATGGCTTCGAGCGGAACAGGAAAACTGGAGTTTATTGATGGAATTATGGACTCTGAGGTTTATGTTAACATTCTCAATAAAAATCTTCTGACTTCAACTAAAAAACTGCGATTAGGAAATCTTCCAACAAAACAATAACCCTAAACATACGTCAAAGAAAGCAAAAGATTTTTTTATCCAAAAGCAACTTTGTATCGTTTATGCTTTAGAGTAAACTTCAGATATATTTGTTAAAAAATTTTTTAAAAAAAGAGAGCGCGATTGATAGTGATAAAATCTGGTTTTGCACAGCGATCTCTAACGTAAAAAAAAAAAAATAACGATCACATTATTGCATATTTTAAAATATATTGTATGAATAAAATGATTAAAGATCACATTACTGTAAAATTTATTTCTTGAATAAGATAATTAATTAACAAGCATCAAACTATTTATTTGCACGATTCTCGTGTCTGTTGATTGATAACTATATTTAAATTTCAATAGTAAACTGAATTTTTGTTTCCAGTCTCCGTTAATAAATTTCTAAAACCTGAAAGTTTGTTTTTTTATTGGACGAAATAAAATTGTTTTAATCGAAACTTTCATATTAGGTTAATTATATTAGATACCAGTTAACTGAGTTACTGGAATTACAGTTAAGTGTACTTTTTTTTTTTTTTTTTTCTAAATTTTTTTTTCTTCAAATTTTTTCTTCTCTATTTTGAATACATTTTAAAATAATAATAAAAAAAGATCCTATTTTGTCAAACTTAATTTTGAAAATTTTATTGATTAATTTTGAAAATTTTATTGATTTTAATTTTGAAAATTTTATTGATTTTAATTTTGAAAATTTTATTGATTTTAATTTTGAAAATTTTATTGAAAAATTATTAAATAAAAGATTAAAAGACAAAGCAAACACAAGCAAACTTTAGAAAAAATTTTTTTTTTGCCAAGTTAACAAAAATTTATTAAAATACTTTTATTGTAAATAAAAATTATTAATACATCATAAACCCAAGTTAACCAGTATGGTTAAATTTTCGTTTGGATATTCGGATTTTTTGAGGCTAATATCATTTTGAACGGTTTTTGTTTTAACAACTTGAGGAAAACCTATTCCGCTTTTAAACTTTTAAATCAAATTTAAAAATGAAAAGTTGGCTTTTAGTCATAAGTTATTGACAACTATTAAAGTCAAAACAAAAAACGTTTGTATATGTACATAATTAGTATTATATATATATATATATATATATATATATATATATATATATATATATATATATATATATATATATATATATATATATATATATATATATATATATATATATATATAATTATATATATATATCGCTATAGATACGCTACAGCGTAGTAAAATCTTTTTTAAAACGTGTTAAAGACGTGTTTTTTGGGAAGTTTTTACAAAAAATAATTTTTTTTAAATAATATTTTTAGGAAGATTTTATCAAAAAAGAAATGAAGCGAGTAGAAGGGTTTGATACAGACTGGGTTAAATTTCAAATCAATATAACAAGACTGATTGGCAAGGAAACAGTTTTCGTTGTTGATTTACATCGTTTTTGTTTAACCAATCATTTAATAATCATTTTTTTGGTAAATATAATTTTGGTAATGTTATTGGTTCTACTTTTTTTGAAACTTTTGGCTAATAAAGCAGATAAGTTGAAAAATCTACGGCAAAGGCATATGGCAGAATTTTTATTTTTATTTTTAAATACATTATGGGTTTTGTTCTACTGTTTGTTAATTACCGACACTTTATTTTGGTTGTTTTCTTCATCTTGCTTTAAAACAAGTTCAAGAACTTTGATATCGTATCACCTTTTCGCTATCTTTGCGTATCACATGATTGATTTTTTTGAGAACTCGTATATAAAGAAGAAATGTTGCGTTTTTGATATAAGCAACCTGCAAGAGGAAAAAAAGACAGTAATTGTAGTCGATACTTTGTAAAACTACAAACTATAAATCATAAAGTAAAAATGTCACAAAACTTGTAATAAACAAAATCGCAATTTAATGCAAATAAATAATATAATAAATCCAACTCTTAAAATACTTTATAATGGAGTTTTTGTATTTTTTTTTTTTTTCAAATTTATATGCCGTTTTTTAAAAATTTTATTGTTTTTTTTTTTAATATATTTTAAAATTTAAATGCCATTTTTTTTAAAAGTTCACATGCCGTTTGTTAAAATTATAATCAAAAAATTAAAGTAATAAAAAATCTGGCGGAAGCATTAAGAAAACAAATCTATTGATTTAAGAGATTTTCATATTTAAAATATATCACATTTTATTTTTCAACTAATTTTAGGTGATTTTTTTTTTGTGGTACACGCTAGAAAACATTGAAAAAAGTAGTTTTTCAAAAGTTTAAAACTTTACCTATTGCTGTTTTTAAAAACATTCATATCTTTTTACAAAAAAACATGAAAAGGCCTAAAAAAAACAGTTTAAACTTAGTAGGGTGATTTTGCTTCCCCTAGCAACGCTCATAGCAACCTCAAAATAAGGCAATTTTAACTAAATTTTACAAAATCTAAGCACTCAAACCAATAGCTGCTTCTTTATTTTTTGTTTTTCTATGTTTAAATGACATGGTGTGAGAGAACAACGTTGTTGAATTGGTTTATTACTTTATATTAACTCAATAAAAGTGCATACTATCAACATGGGTTCTGCAGAAAGAAGTCTAAAAACAAAAAATGTTATAGATTATTTGCGAATAAAATTCACTTGACTTCTGAATATACTGCTTCAAGTTCAAATAATACATCAAATAATAGATCTCTAACAAATACTTCTTCAAGCAAATCAGCATCTGCTGAAAAGTTAAATTTACCTACTTCTGATACTCCAAGTATTAGTCAAGATAGTAATCCTGAATGTTACATTGTATTTAATTCTGATGTCTTGAGTTCAATTTTAAATCTTATTGGTTCTTGTCCAAAATGCCAATCTTTAATAAAATTTAATAATGATTTATCAAGAAGGAAAGGATTTTCACATAAACTTGTTTTGTCTTGCACTGCAAAAAAATGTCAATGGCAAAATGAGTTTTTTACCTCAAAAAAAATCGAAAAAAACATTGATAATGAAACACAAGGCATGAAATTGTTTGACATTAATATCAGGATGTATGTAGCTTTCAGAGAAATTGGAAAAGGTAATGCTGCAATGGAAAGTTTTTGTAACATAATAAACAGTCCACCACCAATGCAAAAAAAAACATACAATAACATTGTCTATAAATTGCATTCGTCTTATATCAAAGTTGCCCAAGATTCAATGAAGCGAGCAGCTGCACAAACACAACGTACAAGTGAGTCTACTATTGGTGACCCTGATATAAAAACTGTTACTGTAAGTGTTGATGGAACGTGGCAGCGACGCGGTTTTTCCTCGCTGAACGGTGTTGTTACAGCTATTAGTAATGAAAAGTGTGTTGACACTCAAACTCTCATAAAGGATGTAAAAGTTGCCAGTATTGGCCGAGAAACAAAAATATACCGGGATACAATGACTGGGTAGAATCACATATTTGCCCAATTAATCATAAAGGTAGTGCAGGTGCAATGGAAGCTATTGGAGCATTGCAAATATTTAAACGATCAACTGTTTTTAACAAACTGCGTTATGCAAAATACTGTAGTGATGGTGACAGTAAGTCTAACCAAAATATAGAAAGTTATAATGTTTAGCCAGGGTATAAAATTGAAAAAAGTGAATGTGTCGGTCATGTTCAAAAAAGAGTTGGGTCTCGTTTACGCTCTCTTAAAGTATTGTACAAGGGAAAAGTTTTAAAAGATGGCAAAAGACTTACTGGAAAAGGAAGGATGACAGATAAAGTCATTAATCCATTGCAAAGCTATTATGGTATAAGTATACGACAAAACAAAGGGAATTTGTATAGCATTAAAAAAATCCATAGCAGGACTAATTCATCACTGTTCTGAAAGCAGCAGCGATGAAGAACGCCATAAGTATTGTCCTCGTACTAGCGATTCGTGGTGTAAATATCAAAGGGACAAGATTAATCAAACTTTGACTTATAAAAACAGCATAAACATTCCAGAAGCTGTTTGTGAAATTATTAAACCTATTTTTTCACACAAAGATCTTGGTGAAAACAAGTTATTAAAAAGATGTTTTGATGGAGAAACACAGAATGCAAATGAATCGCTCAATAATGTAATTTGGACAAAATGCCCGAAAAATGTGTATGTGGGTAGGTCAACACTTGAAATTAGTGTTGCATCTGCTGTCATACAGTTTAATGATGGTAAAACTGGTATGATAGATGTTCTTCACAGTTTAGGAATTTTACCAGGATATTTTACTAAAAACGGTTTTCAAAATAGTGATGTGCTACGTGAAAAGCTTATGGACACAAAATCATCTGAAAAGTTTAAAAAACAAAGAATAAAGCTTAGAGCAACAAGGAAGGGGTTTGATGATAAGCACAATGATGAAGAGGGAACATTATATGAAAAGGAGGGGGGGGGGGGTTTAATCTGTTTTCAAGTGTTAATATATTTGTTTATTCAAAAAATAAAGTTTTAATTGCATTTTTCTCTGTTGTTAAGTTTTTCATATTCTGGATAAGATTTCGGGAACTGTATTTGTCCAATTGATTTGAAATTTTGTACAGATGTTCATTTTTATGAGCTTTATGCTTTGAGATAAAAAAAATTTTGGATAAAAATTAAAATTAAATTTTTTGGGCTGTTTTGGGGTCAGGAATTTGGCCTAAATTTAGACGCATAGAAAAAGCTTATGGTGAATTGAAATTGAAAAAAATTCAAATTTTTTGTTTATCTCAGGACATTTATCTACTTAAAAGGTACACAACTGTAAAATTTTGAGAACTTTGCACCTTTTAGGCCTAAAAACACTTAAATTTGCCCAAAAATTAGAAAGAGGAAAAATAATTTTTTTTTTTTTTTTTTTAATCCTATTTATCATGTTTAAAATGGGAAAATTAATTGCAATAATGTCAGATGTAAAAAAATTTTTTTTTAGCAGTCTACCACCTTAACCATTAAGCGTGCATTTTAAACGTTTTATTTTTAAATGTTTTGTTTCACAGCCGCAAAGAAGCGTACATAAATTGACTGAGAGTTTTGAGTTTAGCAAGCGCTCTTTTAATTTAATGAAAACTCTTTTCAAATTTTGAAATTTGATTTACCAAAAAAGTATACAAAATACATGCGGATTATTGAAACGCACATTGAAAAAACATTCGATCGAAAGATTTTTAACATAAGCAAAAAAAAAAAAAAAAAAAAGTTTAATTATCGTACTCTCGTTGGGAAGGCAGGGGGAATCTGAATAAAAGTTAAAAAATAAAGTTGAATTATTTAAATTTTACTACATAAATATTTACATAAATATTTTTTAGTTTAACAGCTAATCATTATCCAAATGAATAAGAAATAAAAAAACTTCCATTCAAAACAACGTATATTTGATGAAAACGTTTTAAGATATCGTAGAACGTTGTAAAGAACCATTTTTCTGTTTTGTTTTTTAGCTATTGTAATGATATTTTTACGAGAATGATAAAAACGCAAATCATTTTATTATTTTGTAACAAAATAAACTGAATCATACGCCCATTTTCGACTGCATCGACACACGGAACCACATTTTGTAGACTGACATTGAGGGCATGGAAAATGGCAACCACTACATTCTTCAATTAAACAGTCGCATACATCTTTTCCTGTTTCCAAAAAAACGCCGATGTTATCATATAATGGCGATTTTCCATTTTTCTTAGGATTTTTCCTGAAAAATTATTATAAAAAATTATTAAATTAATTTTTTTAGAATTACAAAATTTTAACCAATCAAAAACAATTTAAAACTTTTTTTTTGTTTTGCAATTACATGCAAGAAATATATATATATATATATATATATATATATATATATATATATATATATATATATATATATATATATATATATATATATATATATATATATATATATATATATGTATATATATATATGTATATATATATATATATATATATATATATATATATATATATATATATATATATATATATATATATATATATATATATATATATATAAAGTTGAATCCCGTTAACTCAGACCCTGGATAAGTCGGACTTTTACTAAGTCGGACGGAATTTCAATTCCCCTTGAACATTCTCTATCAACTTGCTGTAAAATCATCAATCAATCAATCAATATATTTTTCTGAAATATTTGGTATTACATTTCAAGGTTGCTTACAAATAGTATAAACTACTAATATTAAGTAAACACCTAATAACAATGATTAAAATAGTTATAGTAATAATAATAATAAAAATATTTATAATAAAATAATGATAAATAATAATAATAATAACAATAATAATAATAAATAATAATAAATAATAATAATTTATTATAAATAATAATAATAAATAATAATAATAATATTAATAACATGTTACTTTAAAAAAATTAATATTAATAATATAGTAATTAATATAAATAATATAGCAATTTAAATAAATCGGTATAATTTTCTATACAACAATCGCTTATACATACAAAGTTACAGTTACAAACAGTAATAAACTGACAAAACGTAACAACTAACGATGACATAAAAACAACTATTGCTAAAAAAAACTATAATGATTTAGTGAATATATTAATCATAGCTCTTATAATATCATAACCAAAATATATTGCAAATAATAAATAAGTAAAAATGTAACCAGAAACTAATTAAATAATATGTAAACAGAAAAACACTTAAAAAATCAAAAGATACAAACATTACGAACAAAACAGAAAATTACGTTAAATATTTTTGACAACAAAAAAAAAACAATAAAAAAACAGCAACATAAAATAAAAAATAAAAACAACAATAAATAAAGAAGAAAAATATATGATATTACATGGTAGAATAAAACATATATAATAAATAGCTAAACTGAAACTAAAAACAAATAATATATAACTGTATAAAAAATTATATATCACTATTTAAAAATAATTAATAACTAAAAAATAAAACAATAAATGACTAACAAAATATATAAAATAAAACTTAATACGCTAAAAACCAAAGAAAAAACATTACTACAAGACTGCATAACAGCAAAACTAAAAAATAAATCTTAAATAAAGAATCCTAAGAAATATATGAAATAAACTTTAAGAAATATATGAAAAAATAAAAAAATCTTGATTTGCCAATCTTTTTTCGATGTATAGAAATTGTTATTATTTTCTTTCTTTTTTTTTCAAATTTTTTTCATTTTTATCTCAATCATTAGTTGTTGTTTTTTTTAACTTCTGTTTTCATTACTTTTTTACTTATTTCCTTTCAAAAATTTCTTTTTCTTTTCTTCTTTGAAAACATTTATTCATTCTTCTTTTTTAGTTGATTTTATTTTTCGTTTAATTTATAAATGTTTACTTTTTTCTTTTTTCCTCGTTTAAAAAAGTTATTATCATCCGTTAAAAAAAAGCGTCCACCATTTGCGATGTCATTGCAAAGGTGCATCTGCTTAAGTCGTACCCTGGTTAAGTCGGACCATTCGCTAACTCGTACTGTTTTTTGAGGTCCCTTCGGCCAAAAACTTCGCTTAACTAGGATTATTATTTTGAATTGCATATAAGTACATATAACAAAACCTTCCTATACTTCAATTAAAATTCCAAACTGTAAACGCTCAAAAATAAAATACTTTTGCGTCAAATATAATTAAACAAAGCTCAACATTTTCACAGAGTTCTTTCGAATCAGTTAAGCTTCAATTAAAGTCTATTTGTTAATAACTATTAAATTTAAAATTTAAAAATATCAATTAAAATTGAAAACTTAAAACGTTCGAAAACTAATTACTTTTGCGTCAAACACAATTTAATGAACTAAACATTTTCACTAATATCTTCGATTAGGTTATACTTCGTTCAAGTTTTATTTACTAAAAACATTTTCACTGATATCTTCGATTCGGTTATACTTCGATCAAGTTTTATTTACATAAGTTTGCTAAAAGAAAGCTACCAAGTAGAACTTGGAAACAAACATCAATTTCGGACTTTTTTCGTTTATAGTATATATTATATATGCAAAAATATATGTTTCAAATAAGATTATATTATTCTATATATATATATATGTCAGAGCCGTAACCACAATTTTTATATTAGGGGGGCTCATATTACATATTAAAGACCTTTTTTTTTTTAAGTACCCATTTTTTAGGTACCCAGGAGATAAAATATTTGTTAAAAATATATGTTTTTTCCTAATAATTATAGTTTAAGACCTTTGCTTAATTCGGATATTCGCTAATCGGACAATATATATATATTATCAACTCGTTTCTCCGCGCAGCGGCCTTGCTCGTCAAGGTTTGTGTTTCGGAGTTATAGAGTTGAGAGAGGGTTATAACCACAAATAAGTAGCCTCCTCGTCTGTAGTGGCCTTCTCGGCCTTGAGGAGGTGAATTAATATAAAAAAAAAAAAAAAAATACCCCTTCAGAGTCCTTTCAGATTCTACTGTGTGTGTATATATATATATATATATTAATTACATAATTTTTTTGGATAACTTAAATATAAAAATGTTTAAAATGTTAAGTAAATAAAAAAAATTTAAAAATAAATAGTCCAAGTTATTAAAAGTCTAAAGTTTATGTAAAATAACCCAACTAATAAGTAAATAAATAATTATTATATAAAAAATAATAATTAAAAAAGCTCATCAGAATCTAATTACATGTTTTTTCTCAACATTCCTAATATTTGAAGTAACTTTTCTTCATAGAACCATATCTTCTGCAGGACTCATTCTTCATAGAAACATATATTCTGCAAAATTTACATTCTTTGTAGAAACATATCTTCTGGTAGAATTACAGTCTTTGTAAAAACATATTTTTTGCAAGATTTCTATTTGCTCTTTATAAGACTATTTTAAATAAGTAATTTTAAAAATCTTTTCTCAATTCTCAAATGTTCTAAATCTCAGTAATAATATTCTACTGACAACTTTTTTATTTCCACTATGACCTTAATGCAGCAACGTCTAGGAGTAGTTACACAGATAATCAGGGATCTATAAATATTAGTAACTTAACGCTTACGATGAATACTCACCATTCGTGCGCGTTTTTACACGGAGTTTTATGAGCATGCTTGGCCTTTTAGATATTTCTCTTTTTGACCACGCGATGAGGTACTCTTGAATCTGTTAATATCTGTTTAATCAGTAATAAGATCGAAAACTTTGCTTCATCAACTTAATAAGTAATAAGTAATAATTAGTAATATCATAGTCATAATATACATAGTCCGGCCAGTTTAAAAGCGCTATTGTTTATCTAATTGTTAGCTTTTTTTTAGAACCCAGTCTACCAATGAGTGCACACTTTTTGTAAACAAATGCGCATTAAGAAGATTATTTACAAGAAGATTATTGATTTATCCTTGATTTTTGCAAATGCCTTGTCTTAATTGTTACATATTTGGTTCTGAAACTTTTCGAAGAAGTATAAATTTTTTTCTATTGGAAATATTTTCTTCCGATGATGATGTTTATAACAAAGAATCAAGAAGAAAAGTTTTACAAATAATAAATAAAAATAAATCTTTAGTTATAATATATTAAAACTAAAGATAAAATATGATATCAGATAACTTTTTTTTGATCGACAGATTTACTACCTTCAATAAATCAATCAGTTAAGAGCTTTTCATTGACAAATCCTTCTTTAGGCAGAATATAGTAGTTTCTCATACTACTAAAGCTCAACTTAAAGAAACCAACTTTTTCTTCTGAAGCAGATGAAAGTCAATATTTAAATATTTACATTAAAAAAGATTAATGTTTATTACAGTTGTGCCTAACATTATTTCATTTTTAAAAAGTATCAAAGCTATTTTGTGGCTATTTTAATAGCTAAAATCTTATAAAAACATTATTTGGTATAAATTAAAAGATAAAAATTTTTTATCTTCAATACAAGAATATCACAAGATTTAATGGTTTATGCAAAGCTTATATATATATATATGTATATATATATATATGTATATATATATATATATATATATATATATATATATATATATATATATATATATATATATATATATTTATATACATACATATGTATATATATGTATGTATATATAAATACATATAAATGTATATAGGCTTATATATATACATATGTATATATGTCTGTGTATATATATATATATATATATATATATATATATATATATATATATATATATATACATATAACATATATATATATATATATATATATATATATATATATATATATATATATATATATATACATATAAATATTTATAAGTGTATATATATATACATATATATTTATAAATATATATATATATATATAAATATATATATATATATATATATATATAAATAAATATATATATATATATATATATAACATTTAATAACATATATAATAACATGTTATATATAATATACATATATAATAACATGTTATACTTATTTATATATAACATGTTATATATAAATATATATATATATATATATATATATATATATATATATATATATATATATATATATATATAACATATAACAATTATAATAATTAAATTATTATAATAATTATATTTATTATGTTATAATAAATATAATTATTGATATTATTTACTATAAATAAGATATCTTATATATTCCCAATATTATATATATTTATGTATATATAATATATAAACATTAAATAAA